GTTTTGGGACACAGCTACAGTTTGGGCTCTACTTTTCTGTAATGGAGATTTACTTGCAGTCCTCCAAAATGCCAACAGCATACAACTCAGTGTCGCTTAAATTACATTTTACTGTTAAAAAAATAACACTGGTGCTACTGTTCATTGCTACCTCGAATTCTGGCCTCAAAACAACGCCTCCAGCATTGCCCTCCATCACGGCTCCTTCTCAGTGCAGAAACCATCCACCTTCTCTGACCCTCTCAAATACAGCGACAACCAAAATTGTCAGAATCAGATCGAGTTCCTTCCGGTCTCTTGTGTCTTTCTTAGTTCCAGCACTTCCCTTCTTGCTCTTGATTTCTTTGGGCCAGTGCCACAGTCGAGGCTGATGTTCAGAAACACCCGCTGCTTGAACTCTGGGAAAAGCTCATGTTTCACTCTAATCTAAGCTGCTGTTAGCTGTTGATTTCTGAGGCTGGTAACTCTAATGAAGTTCTGCTGTGCAGCTGAGGGAACTCTGTGGCTTCGTTTCCTGAGCTAGTTTCATCACAGTGTTTGATGATTTTTGTGACTGAACTTGAAAAAACCTTCAGTCCTTAATGTTTTCCAAATAATTGACCTTCATTTCTTAAAATAGGCTAATGATGGACTGCTGCATCTCATTAAGGGACCAGGACTGTTTTTGCCATGCAAACACTACAGCAGCACAATATTCAATCATTCAGGAGGAAAAAGTTCCACCTGTTCACCTTTGAAAGGGTTCAGCTGTGAAGTGGTACACATTGCAAATGACAAACTCGTGAAGCTGGTTAAGATACTGACAAATAGGTGCAAAGAAAATCCTTGAAATTGTCCTGGAATTACCACCGATGAGGATATTCTTAAGTCTAAACTCTGCAAACCATCTCGTCTCTCTGGCAACGACACCGTATCCCCACACGTCGTCACAGGCTGGACGACTGCACAGTCACACATATAAACACACTGAAATTCATTCGCTTGTTCAGGCTGAGTCTCTGAAACAGCTCCACCTCTGCTGCCTGATGCTGTAACTGCAGCTCCATTCAATCCTTTAACTCGATTATGAGACATCCTGTTTTAAATGTAACTGTTTAGCTGGCAGATATCTTGTTATTGCTGTAAATGATTTCTGATGGCTCACCTACATTTCATTCAACATCTACAGCTGTGGCTCAGACTTTGGAAATGACCAGTGTCGGGAAAAGAACAATAGAGAGAGAGAGCATAGCTTCTAATGAGTTTTAACAAACTTGCGATGTGTTGTGTAGATGTCCTTGTCGTCCCTTTGAACTCAACTACAAATCAGTCAGTTAACCCTGCAGTCACGTTGCATTTGGTTATGCTTTAGAAAGCTGCAACACTACCAGCTGCTGACACTGTGGAAACAGCTCTATGGTCAGTCCAGAGACTTTATAGAACAACAGTATATATTAGTAGTCTAACTATGATGTCATACCAAAGTCATACTATTGTGTTGTCATATTATCCTATAAGACAGGGGTGTCAAACTCAAATACACAGTGGGCCAAAATTCAAAACTGGAACAAAGTTGCAGGCTAACGTTAATATTTATTGAAACATATTTATTCCTCCAGATATAAGAATGAATCTTTTCTTATGGACTCAAACACATTTTGCTGAAAAACTGAATATGGAACAAGCAAAGCTTAATACTAAACAATATATATATTAGCTGTATAATACCAGTAGGCCAGCTCTAATAATAATTTGGTATGGCTTCGCGGGCCAAATGTAATTAGACTGTGGGCTAAATTTGGCCCGCAGGCACCTATGCTATAAGATGTAATGCTTTTAGAATGTGTAAATAATATATTCCCAGTGCTTTGTATCCTGCTGCAGTGAGGCTTTGGTCTTATGTTGTTGTTGGTGTTGTGCACTCTTAAGGGTCCGAGTACGGGATCCATGGTGGACGTTATTGTGACATTACCCAACCAAACTTTGATTGTAGGGACCGCACTATTTACCCATACATAATTTATTGTTAACATTCTTTTTAAAATATATTTTAAAATCGTTTTTGGAGTAAAAACTGAAAAACGATCGCGCTTGTGACTAGAAGTTTTCTTTTTTTAATATCGTGTGCGGGTAAACTGGAAAACTTTGGACTGATAAGATGGTGTCACCTTGGCATTCTCGGAACTGTGCTGGGAATCTTTTATTGACATTTTTATAGACTAATAAAAAAAATCAATTAATTGGGAAAAAAAATAACAGGCAGATTATTGGATAAGACGTCGCTCAGTGCATCATTAAATCTAGACGTGGCAACACCGGGACGTTAATTATATGTAACCTTGACATTTATGACTCTAGGAGAGCTCAGCTCAGTTGAGAAAAGCGGCTGAAATATAATTGAATGCCACAGTGAGTGGGATCAAACTGTGCGGACACGTGACCACGTTCAGCAGAGGCACTCACTGAAAACTAACCCAACAAGTTTGTTCTGTTTTTATTGTGTGAAAAACTGAAGCGGCTCGCGCTGACACGAGTTAGCTCGTTATATTGATCATATATTGGCTGCCCGGGCCTCCTGTAGGCTACCTGTTAAATACCAAAGCTTGTTTTTGGCCATTTGTGCCGATGCGTTGATCAGATATTGATTATGGGCGCACATATGCAAGAAATGCAAAGGCAAAGAATGCGCGTGTGTGCAGCGGAAGCAGTGCTGAAGTTAAAGTCACCGCGCAAATGTCAAAATCTTTGAGGAGGTTTATCCTCTCTCTCTCTCTCTCTCTCTCTCTCTCTCTCACTCGCTCTCAGAGCTCGTGCAGGCTCGCTCTCTCTCCCCTCCTCGCTCTCTCCCTCACACTCAGCCAGCCGGTGCTGCAGTGGCTCAGTCGCAGAGCGCTAGCGCGGCTGCTTTTCCGCGGTAACTCGTTTCATCCGTCGGGACACGACTGCGTCCACGGATCGTAGATGCAGCCCTCC